CCCCAAAACCCCAAAACCCCAAAACCCCAATTTGAGTAGATTAGATTGAAAGGGCTTATGTAATGAATTTTCTACGGAAGGCAGATTTGTAGATGGAGGTGGGACTAACGTAAGTAGGCTGAGAAATGGGCTGGAAGGATGTCTGAGGAACTTGGAAAGTGGCTGAGGAGTTTATAGTTTGTGAACTTTTATAATCCTTCATTATCTTAACTATCTCTTTAGACATATCAATGGTCCCACTCTGTCCCACTTCTACACCAAAATGACGATATCACTTACCTAAATCCCTTTTAGATTGCTCGCACTGGGCCTCGCCCAGTGCTGCCAACATCTTAGTAGGATTCAGCAGTTGAGTGATGGTCTTCCTCTTGCGAGTAGAAGGAACATGACTGAGCATATGAGTCAGCTTCTTCTTGTTAAGTTTGTGCTGGTTGAGGGAGGACATCAGTTTGGCTTGTTGGAGAGTCAGCTTTGTCCTGGATTTTATGTAGGGGTCTTTGATGGTCAAAGCTGTGTTTACTATGGGAATAAGGGTGAGAAGTTGGGGTTTTAAGGGATTTACCATGGATTTTTCGCTTTTTACCGATGGTTGTGGTTTTGGGACCATCGCTGCTGAACTCGTTTGAGTAGAAGCGCGATCTATTTTTTATGATGTATTTGGCAGATTTTATGTTGGTAAGAGTCTGGGCTGCCTCACTTGTGGTTGCGTCTTGGCTCTCAGTGTTCTTGTATTGCAGTAATTCAACTTCACTAAGTCTTTTAGTTGCTGCCTTGTTCTTGAGGACTAAAGATATATAAAATATAATACTAATTTTCTTCTTTCTGGCAGGTATCTTCCTAGAAAATTGGTTATAACAAATTACAATTTTTGGTCTTTCTTTTTCTCTAAAGGCCTATAATCATCTTTTGGTTCATCTAAGGATTTATCTGAAAGATCCAGAATTTGGATTTGGTCACTTCCAATATCTCTATCAACCAGAGTATTCTTCGAATTGCTTCTTTGAGCTTCTTTTTCTCGAAACGTGGTTGAAGGAAAGATTTGTATTCCCGGTTTATTGAGGCTCCTTAAAATATTTAGAAAAGAAGGTACCTTTGAGTGAAGTCGATCAGATCCATTCGTTTCTCAGGTGAATCATCATTATTATCAGCCATGCTACTTTCAGAAGAGGTACTTCCTGGATTTCTCTCTAAGATCCGTTGTGTATCATCACTCACAGTTTCTTGGCTTTGGATACTCTCTGCACTAAGAGACTCAATCTCAATTCTGAGATCGCTATTCTCTACAAATGTAAGAACTTAGAAATCTAAAAATCTTACTGATGGGTTGGAGTCTTTTAAGAGATTTCTTGTCGATATTAAGTGGAGGCACTTGCTTTGCAAGATTATTAACACTGTACTTTTGGTTTACCTTTTGTCTGGCAAAACTACTCAGACGTAGATACTTCTTGTCGATTACATCCCGTCTATAGGTAAGAAAGGGCCTCACTTCTTGTAAGTCTTAGTGTCTGGGAATTTGAATGGGCAATAAAACAGCAGGTCAAGGGCTTCCTTATCAGTAAGGTTAAACCCAATAGTCTTTTTAAAGTTTTCAAGACTATACTTATGCTCTTGTGGGATAAGTGGTACGCTAGTACTGTTTCCTATTGTACTTCCTCTACGTTTAGTCATTGAGCTATTGGTTTTAAGGGTAACTTACTTTGAGATAAATGCATTTGACACTTTCTCTCTTTCTTGGTCAATAATGCTCAGTAAGCTCTTGACGTTTGCTGGAGTGCTTATTTTGTTCAAAATTTTATGTGACTCTAAATATGATGCTGCCAAATTACTGCCAAGGTCTTCTGGGGAAAGTGTCAGATCCTCCTTGCCACGTAAAGTCTGAGGAGCCTTTGGTAGAGTAACATCTGACAAGTCAGTTCTGATTTCTAATGACTTTCTGCTGCCTAGTAACCGGTGAATTAATGCCTTTGCAAATTTTACTTACTTCTTTTAGCAAGTATGCCTTTATTTGGGCTCAGGTTTAATCCCGAAAATTTGTATGATTATTTTCTTCATTTCTTCAAGGTAAGGATACGTCTCTCTCAGGTCATTTTTCTAGGATGGATCATCACCAGAAATACTTACATAAACCCAGTATTTATTTGTCCTTGTAGTTTCTGTATCTCCATGGAACTTTGTGCTTCTCTCGGAAGTCCATATAAATGTTGAATATTTCAAGAAGCAAGTTGAGGTTGTCAGCAGACATTCCAATATCAAGCTGTTGGCCTAAAGTGTGGTGAATTTACAGTTATTTTTCTGCCTACTTATGACTACCAGCTCTTCATCACTGGGTATTTTATTTGATGTCAAGATATTTTGCTTTCTTAAGGAAAAGTCTTGAGCTTGTCCTGACTGCAGCTGCTCGCTTTATTTTGCACCTCTGGCTTCGGATTTGGTGCTTTCTATGCTGTCTCAGTAGAGGCTTACTTTAGTGTAGTTTTTTCGATGGGTTTTGGCAGAAAATTTTGTTTCTGTCTTAATCCGATTATATCCTGTTGAACTTGATACTTTTCCTCAACTTCTTCTAATATTTCTGGTGTGAGAGTGTGGAAGTGTGATAAAATTTCGCTTTTAACACGATTATTATCAAAAATTATGCCTATCGAGTCTCCAAAGGTCTTGGTCAACAAATGGTAATACTTATCAGTAAGTACAGCTTGTTGTCTACTTTCTGCTTTAGGGTTAGCTTTCTTAAATTTTCTCTTAATAACTACAAATTTATCCAGGAAATTACTATCAGTAAGCTTGTCGTATCTCTCCATGGCCTTGTTCTTAACATGACTGTGCGAATTTTGTTCTTCAATATCTAAAAGTAACATGCAACCACTTGAATACTTTTAGTTATCTTCTGGGAGATAGATTTTGAAAGGCTGCTGCCAAACACGATGTTCCTTTTACCAGTTTTGACCTTATCAACTATCTTTGCCTTTTCTTTTTCCTTATGTATCCTAGAGAATTTATTGTAGAATTTACCTATTTTCTATATTTCCTCTAGTAGTCTTGTCAACTACGATTTTTGAGAAATTATTAATTCTTCTTAGTCTCTATTTCTGAGTTAAGAACTCTTGAGAAAGTCTTTTTGAAGAAGCCTGCTTTTGGGTGCTCCTTGGTTACTTTGCCAGTGTTCTCGTTGAAGTAGATCACGTCTTTTCCAGGCGCTGTTTCTCTGGTGAACCCATATGGGAGTTTACACCCTAGGACGATCCTAAGGAACCATGCGTATTTATTTGTAGTCCTTGGTTAGTTTTGACTTTATTGTAGGTGCGTTTAAGCCGATAAGAGGTGCTAGTTTGATAGCTTCTCTCTTACTAAATCTATATCGCTCCTCCTCTTCCTCCTCAGCCTTATTTTTGTAAGGCTTCGAGAAAGGTAGATGAAATATTCTTGATTGTACTGTTGCTATATGCTGAGAGTTTTGCACTCACCTTTTCGCTGTAGAAGGGCTCTTTGGAGACATAGGACTCTTCGCAGGCGATCTCTTCTTCATAGAAGATAAATCTGCCTTTTTGCTTAATTGTTGAGGAGAGAGTCTAGGAGAACTTATAGGCTTCTTTCTGGGACTATTAGCGAATTTCACCTTCTTATACTTTGAGGGTGTTTTAGGCTCAAGACTTTTGAGTATTCCTTTGTCAAGTGCAGGGCTGGGGGTTTTCTTTGGCCTAACATTTATAATAAAAAGTACTTTAGCATTCCTTTATCTCGCATTTTCTGTATGATTCCATAAGACATCAAACTTTTTGTAAATGTTGTGCTCTTTTCTACAGGTTTAGCCTCGGATTTGGAATTTTTCTAAAATTATATAAATTCATACAAAGTTTCCAGCTAGGGCTGATGGTTTAGCAAGGTCTTGGTCGCTATCTGAGTCAAAACTATCATGCGAGGGAGATGAGTCATCGCTATATTAATAAGTTACTCATGAGTAATCTCTTATTATATCTATCAATTATTATTCCCCAAACTAAGATCCTTCGAGGCAAGCAGCGTCGAATATAGAGCCAAAGATTGTGACTACGCCACTTGTGGCCTCTAGGCTTACCCTTGGATTCTCTTCATGATGGTCTCAAGGTTGATGGGTGTCTCTTTCTCTTCTTCGTCCATTATTAGAATTTTTCTTAATAATTATCAACCCTGTTTGAACTTTTGGGGTTTTGGGGTTTTGGGGTTTTGGGGTTTTGGGG